CCCCCGGACCCCCAGTTTATCTGAAAAAGGGGTATCTGTAGCTCAAAAACTATTAAACATAGGAGCTTCAGATTTCTTTTGTTGTTCAGCTCTGATGATGGGTTATCCATCAGGTCCAAACCCGCCCCCCACCCTCCCAAAAAAAGACCCCCACACAAACCACTACAATTTTGGGATGCACCTATAGCATGACATTTATTAGGAATAAAGACTTCTGAAATCTGGTGCATTTCTGCGTGCAAGGGTCAGTATGTTACTGCCATGCGACATCTAGTGTGATAAAACTTCCCAACGAAACAAAATAGAGAAAATAGCATCTGGATTAATCGTGATTCAATTATTGACAAGGTTTTACACTATGATGTTGTTAGCCAATATTTACTTTAATTTTAAATAAACGAGTTTCATAAAGCTCAGATCACTAGAATAGTGGGTGCCGGGGGTCACCTTGCCTGCCCAGAGGTTGTGAAAATATCAATTTATTATATAGAAGGATTTTTTTTAATGAACTTTTCACTTTATTCTTTTTATTATTTTGCTGAAGACATATAGGTTGAACAATTCTTTGGGAGAGGTGGGAAGTAACAAGTAGTATTATTTTATGTGGGCAGGTCAGTGTTGAGGAAAATAGGTCACTAGAACGTAGTGAAAAAAGCTTCCCTTCAGTAGAAAAAAGATAATAACCAAGTCAAACACAATAGGGCTTTTAGCTGCTTCACAGCTCTTGGACCTTAATAAATCATTTTAACAGATTGTGTGACATCTGCACTTACACACAGTCACTAACACAACACCTCATTTTAGCTGAAGAAGATGAAATAGTAGTCAGTCGCAGGTGAAAACCTATCTGCTTTGAGACTGGAGATTCACAGGGAAGTGTGGGGCCAAAACACGCCAGCAGCTCGGGCTTAGGATGCTGATGGAAAGTGTTAGATGGTGATTTTTCCACTGCTGCCCAGGTGATTTTAATGATACTGGATATCTTGCACAGACAAGAGTCACAGTGTAGCTCCTGTCACTTTCTACTCCTCTGGCAGCCAGAGGATTAGAGATGATGGAAAGGCTGAGCTACAAGTCAGAAGACCTGCACTGAATAGGAACAATATAACTCAGAGGGACGAGACCAAATATAACAGACAATCCATCTTCCTTTTGCTCCATGATATTTTCACTCTTTGCCTCTCACTTTTCTGTTACCCCCTCCAGGCATATCCTCGCAGTTCTCTAACGAAGAAGCAGCCCACGGTGTTAGTGATCTGTGGTCCGGATCAAAATGGCTCCATTGGTCTGGTGTGCGCCCGACATCTGCGCATATTTGTGAGTAAATTAGAAAACACAAAAGTACACTTGAATCTCATCTATCCATCAACCAGACAATGATACTGATACTTATTGAATTATTCAGACCTAACATTTGATTCTTATCGGACTTTTAAAACAAGGTGTGTATAATGTCATGTTTCTGTATATCAGGAGATCTCACAAGATGTGAACGTGTTCAGAGGTCTACAGTCACCATATTTTAGCTCAATATCTGTAAAACGAAATGAGTTAGAGCTGTTATTCATTAGGCTAATGATGCTGCGGTGGCCATCTTGAATTTGAATAACTCTAGATTTACGTCCAACAATCCCTTTTATTTTATTTAATTTTTTACTAAAAAATGATTTATAAAATATTTTGCTAACAAAGAGACAGGTTTGACATGGAAATTTTTTATGCAAAAAAAGTGCTTCAGGTATGTGTTAGTGGTATTCCTGAGCCACTACCACACCAAATCTAAGCTCAGTCTGTGTAAATACTGAGGGATAAGTTAGGATTTCCAGAGCAGTGGTTCCCAACCTGTTTTCCTCAAAGCTCTCCTTTCTTACTTCCAAGCCAAGATGAGTCCCCGCCCCCATGTTTGCATGTTACTTTTTACGTTTGATTCTTTTAAAATCACTTCCTGTTTTTGGCAATGTTACTTCCGGTTTCAGATGGAGAGTCAATCCAACACCCCACCAGGGACACATTGAACCTTTTTAATCATTTATCAAAAAAAATAATAATAAATTGAATATTTACAAACTTTTATTTGTAAAAGGGGAAAAATACAAACTGATTTATACAGTGTTAATTATTCAAATGGACTTGTTTAGTTGATTTTTATATACAAACAATAAACTGATATTTTTACAACCTCTGAACAGACAAGTGTTATGGGTCCCCCCATGTAATCTCTGGCATCCCCCAGGTTGGGACCACTGTTCTAGAGTCAATAGCTGTTGTGGCCATCTTGAGTTAGGCTGACTTCAAAATGTAATCAATTATCATAGTACATCTAATGATTACTTTCTGAGATTTTTGTTCAAATGTTATTCATAATATACACTGAAGAACAAACGGATACAGTTGACTGAAAGGCATAGTTTTAAAAATACTCAAACACAGAATTCTTGCTCAATATCTATAAATATGACAGACATTTGAAAACAATATGCAAACTTTAACTAATGACATGACTGGAACTTCATAGCCAGGCCAAGATTTTCCTTTTGGCTCCTATAAATGCCTTGTAACAGTTATCCCATTACTGCCTCTATGAGGGCACTCAGACAGTTATGATATCAGGCCATTGTTACTCTCATTAATGTCGTCTCAGAGCTTCACCCACGCAGCATGATGTCGAGGTAGTGATGTCTGCAGCTTAGGCCCACATACTGAGATAAACAGTATGTCAGGGCAATCAGTTTTAAGAGCTGGGTCCATCCTGTTCAAACAGTGAAAACTATTTCTTCTTCTTTTATTTTTTTCTTGATGTCACACTGCTGTTATCCTGTTTGGCCTACCAAGGATGCTGAGATCTACAATCTACAATCTCAGCATGATGCACTTTGCCTTAATTCCACCTATCATCAGATATGCTGTACATGGGCTCAATGCATTTACATATAAATGAGTGTTGACTTAATGTACACAGGTCTTCATAGCATAGCTACCTGAAACTCACCACCACAGATTAAAAAAGGAAAGGAAGAAAGAAAATCACAAAACACTCACTATTTCATTGCACCATTTGCAAAAATGCTGTGACTGAGGCCACCTTGGTTTTTTGCCAGTGTTAGGCTGTAAATTGAGTCCATTTGATCTAATTCCTGTTTGAATTCTGTCACCAGTCAAAATGCAAGGAAATTATGCACCTCCTCATAACACCATAGTGTTAATATTTTAATGAATGGATTATGTACAGTATATTTAGAAAAGCAAATAACAATAAACAAAGATGCATGATTGATGTCTTTCTCTGACCAATCACTGGGCTGTGAGTCTACTGATGTTGACTCCTCAGCTGAACTCAGCTCTCTTGGAAACTCATCCAACAAGGTCATGAGAACTGAGATAGAAACTTGTTGGAACACCAAACAAAAAGACTCTAAACCTGTGCTGGACCAAGGCCAAGTAAAGCCCATGAAAAAAGATCCATACATTTGTGAGGTGCAGATTATTAAGTAGTTCAGACTGAAAACATATCAACACAAACAAGATGGTGAGTGAGGACGTGTTTGTTGTTAGCTTTCTTTATAACTGCCTGTGTTGTGTTGTGTTGTGTGTTTGTTTTGTGATCTTTGGGTTAAATTTCGTTTTCCTTTATTTTCTCTAGTGTTTCTCTGGCCCAGTTTACGAAAACTACCATTCAGCCCCCTTACTTCTATGTTCACATTAGTCAGTCACAACACACATCTGAGATGGAAACAATGGCAGATTCATCGAGTACATTAAACTGAGTTTTTTTGACGTTGATTTGCCATAATCAAAATGAAAAAAAAATTATAAAGTTTCAAGAGATTAACTGGGCCTTAGTGCCTGTATTCATTTTTCATTAGTTTAGCTCCTGCACTCAGTCAGCCAGCCACACCACTCTCACCTGTTCCCAGCTGTGTCCAAAATCAAGGGTTGCATCCTTCAATGGCCGAATTTGAAGGTAAATTACGCCACTGCGATGCGCCAAAGGCTGTCCAAATGCAAAGGCTCTTCCTGTTGCGACCCACAAATGCATCCACGTTTTTCTGGTTTGAGGGACAGGTGCAGTGTATCATTATCAGCCCACCCTATCCCAAGATGCATTGTGAGCCAACCAGGAAGTTTTTTTTCTTGTAATGGCGAACAAGCCAAAATGTGGAGCGAAACAGGAGTACAGTTGTAAAAATCTGGCTGTCAAAAGTCAAATTAAAAGTTTAAAATGGATGTATTTTTAGGTTTTGTTGTTTGTTTTTAATGTTATTCATGTCAGAAATGTCTACCTCTACATATTCAGTCCATGTCTCACTACTCACCAGCAGTGGATTATTGGTTTCTGTACCACAGTCCAGTCCAGAAATTTTGCACAAGCGCTCATAATAAACCTCTTATAAAATATAAAGATGGCTGCCAGGTATACTGATTTCTGACGCTTTGAGTATATAGCCATTGTCATTGGATGGCATCATCCAATTCCATTTAAGTCCCATGCGATCTGTACACCATGCGGGTAAGTACATATGGTAAATGAAGTCATGTATACCCCCCTTACCGTTTGCTTGGCTCTCCCACGCTGGCACACCCTGTCAGTTCAAAACTTTTCCCTTGCCTACTGAATCCTGAAGCAAGCATTGAGGCATTTCTGGCTGCAATATATATTTTTATAGAGTTTATTTGTAATGTTTTATGGAAATATAGCTTTCTTCAAGCGTATTCTAAATAAAGCATATAAAACCAAAACATATGCTACAAAACATGATGAGAGATACTCAAGTCATTAGCTGTGTCCAAATTCAGGGGTTGTGTCCTCTAAAGGCCAAATTTGTCAGCTGCTTACATCACAGCGCAGCTCCAGATACTGTCCCAATTCAAAGATTCCTCCGATGCAGCCCACAAATGCATCCTCCTTTTCCCCCAATTTTAGGGACAGGTCCAATGGTTCCTTCTTGGCCCATCCTATCCCAAAATACTGTAGGAGTCAGACAGTAAAGCAGAAGGCTAGACCATCCAATTTCAGAGCCACTTTTTTCCAGTCTTCGCGGTCTACCAAGGACCCACCTAGACTGCATAGGCTGGGTCCTTTGCAGGAACCAACCCCTGAATTTGGACTCAGCCAAAACATAAAACTATGACTGGTGGCCATCTTGAAAAACTATGGCCATTTTGAAAAGTGGAGCCATCTTGAAATTTTGTGTGGACACAGACATTTTATAAGAGAAGGTTATAGTGAGTGCTTGTGCAAAACTTCACACTTGCATCAACTGAAGTATTTTGAATGAATTTATCTGCAGCACTACCATGTGTTCCTTGTGCTCCTTCATGTGCACTCCTTGTGTTTCCCCAGAATTTTTGTAAGGTTTTTTTCTGTCACGCCAGCATTTTGTTTTCAGTTTTAACAGAAATTTTTGTAATTCTTTGGGTTCCTTGCATAGGTCTCCATTACTGGGTCCAAGCTCCTGTCGACCTTAACAGAGACCTAGATTCAGAAAGTTTGTGTGTCAGAGAAAATGGTTGTTGTTGTCATGTATAAACGTGGCTTGAAATGAAACAAAAATGTTAGTTTCTCTTAAAAAGAGTGGTGTAAACATGGTCTAACTGACTTTGGTTATACATTTAACAGTTTTGTTAAAAAAGGTAAGCATCCCATTTCTCAAGTTTTGAGATTTATTTTTGTGTATTCAGCTCACAGCTGCTTCCTGCTGAGCTTCTACCACCTCTCAGACTGTAGGCGTCTGGATTTCTACTTTTCTAGTCTCCATTTCATAAGGGAAGTATTCATTCAGGAAGCAAACTGTGGAAATCGCTTCTTCTGATCACAGKTTTTTTTTTCACCAGTTCTCAACAACATGTGCATTGAAGCATTCACCATGTTAAATCCTGCCAGTGTTTACTGCAACCTCTGCCAAAGGTTTTGTTAAACCCTTATCTCCTAAGCTAACTGTTTTTTCTTTTCTCCATTCTTCTGTGTTCATCTGATACAGGACTACGAGCCCACCGTTTATCACCCGAAACGTTCCTCTCACAGTCTGCACCAGGATTTCACAGTTCAGTGTGAGAAGATGGATATCCCCTTTCTCTCTTATTTGCCTACAGAGGTCAGTTATGTTCTTACCAACGGGAGCACTTCAGTCATAATAATGTAGATCATAAAGTTTGATTGAAATTGCTCTGGTTATGAAGTCATATGTACTTCACAGGGGTACCGGTAAAACCTAACTCCCTCTTACACAATCTGTCTCCCAATACAGCTGTGGAGTACAAAAACAGATAAWGATCATTTATCTTACATGTTTTAAGTGTAATCGATGTCATTACCTGTTTTGAGATTGTTTATGTAGTGTTTTATTATACACTGGRCATATTCCTGTCTGGGACCATTAACCTACGAGAGTTTCTGCTGGTTGCTTGGTAACAGCTCTCAGTCATGTGACTTCTTAATTAGTAAGTTTTTTCTTTTAGTTTTTTTCTTCTTTTTATCACCTTTGGGCAGATAGACTAACTGGTTCATCTCTCTGGCCTTCTTGTTAAAATAAACTAATTATCTGTTGGCTGAAGGGTGTGCAACAGAGATTCGAGCAAGTGCTAATGATCTCATCTTTCTGTAAACATGTCAGATTTTTGCTGCTTTCAGTGATTTGMTTGTCTGTCTGTTATTTGTGGTTCTATTTGTGTGTGTGTGTGTGTGTGTGTGTGTGTGTGTGTGTGTGTGTGTGTGTGTGTGTGTGTGTGTGTGTGTGGGGGGGGGTG